GGAGGGAAGGAAGAAAGAAAGGGAGGGAGGGAAGGGAAAAAGAGAAAGAGGGAAGGGAAGGAAAAGTGAATGAGATATGGATGGATGGATGGACGGACAGAGGGAGGGAAAGAAAAAGGAGAGGAAGGAAGGACCACAAACCCTGGCACTAGATGCAGTTTCAGAGGATGCTTTGAAATAGCACAACAATCCAGGGCTGGAAAGGATCTCGGAGGTCATCTAGTCCAACCCCCTGCTCCAGCAGGAGACCTTATATAATCTTAATTATTTTGGTGCCTCTAACACACTGGAGAAATTCCCAGAAAAGGAAAGGAGTTTACTAGGCAAGGCTGCCATGCAGAGGAAGGCAGAGGTAGTCCTTGACTTACAACAACAATTGAGCTCAAAATTTTGGTTGCTAAGCAAGAACATTGTTAAAGTGAATTTCTGTCTTTTGACCTACCCAGTCACATAGCCACGCCCACCCAGTCACATGAGCACCAAGCCATGCCCACAGAACCAATAGTAAAAAAATTTGAATCCCATCACTGATTATAATAGTCTAGCTATGATTACATGAACATATAATTTTGTTTGTTTGTTTGTTTATTCAATTTGTGAAGTTGCCCAACTCAATCAACTAACTCTGGATGGCTTATTCTCAAATTATAAAAAATTAAAACAATTTAAAGACATTAAAACAATAAAAACAAAATAAATAAGTATAAATATAAACAATAATGAAAGAGAATAAAGTAGAGTAGGATAGGACAGGACAGGACAGGATAGGATAGGACAGGGAAGGACAAAACAGAATAAAATAGAATATGTTATTGGCCAAGTAGCTCTTAGTGTACATGCAAAACAATGTAATCATCATCATCATCATCATAATGATACCAATAAGAAAAGGTAGTGGAACAGATGAGGGTAAAAGTAATACAGCCATACTACATGGGTAAATATGCTTAGACATAAGACGGTACTGTGAGAATTAGATGTTCAGCAGAGTGATGGCACAAGGGTAAAAACTGTCTTTGTGTCTAGTTGTTTTGGCATGCAGTGCCCTGTAGCGGCATCTTGAGGGGAGGAATTGAAACAGTTTATGTCCAGGATGTGAGGAGTCTGTAGATATTTTCTCAGTGCTCTTTCTGACCCATGCAGTATACACATCCTCAATGAAAGGCAGCTGGTTACAATAGTTTTTTATGTTGTCCTAACTATCTGTTGAAGTCTGTACCTGTCTTGTTTGATAACTGTACCAAACCGGACAGTTATAGAAATACATATGACAATTCTTCAGAACTGAAGAAGCTTCTTGGGTATGAGGAAGATATTTTCAAAGAGGAAAAAATACACAAGAAAATCCAATTGCCTTTTGGAAAAAGCACTTTTGGGACAATCATGATCTGGATGATTGAGAATCTTCATAGATATGAGTTCTAGTTCTTCCTTAAACATGAAAGCCAGTTGGGGACAGTCACTTTCAGCCCAACTTACTTTATAGGTTTGATGTTGCGAGCAAATAAGAAGTTATATATGCTACCTTGAATTGTACAAAATAAAGGTAGAATGTAAATCTAATAATAAGCTACCTGGAGAATACGTGTAGTAACATTAGAGCTGTGTTGGTTGGGGACATGAATTAATACACACCACTTTTTATACTGTAATGTTGACTGAAAATGCTGTTGATCTGCAGCAAAGTTTAGATATCTACTCTAATGCAACAAAGAATACAATTTTAATATTAATATATGAAAGAGTTAGGTAGCTATGTTTGACATGAAAAGTAAACAATTGTACATTGTACATATATACTGAGTAAGTAAATTAATTTGTACATTTTGGTAGATAACTACATATGTGGAAAATATGAAAATATGTTAAGATGTGTAAATGTGAGTAGAAAGGTAATTTTGTCTTTTGTGAGGAAGTAATTTGTCAAAAGAAGTAAAAATAGCCATGCTTAACTGTTGCTTACTTTGTTATCATGACAGAAAAAGTGGGCTGTGTCAGGGAGAAACATCAACATTAAATCTTTATTACTGAATGAATGTGGATGTAATCTACTTACTCATTACATCACTTACGTAATGAGTGATCATTACAAAAGAAATATCTTGCAATGGGTTAATCACATAGAATTTAATATGGGTTAAATTACCATCTATCCATGAAAGATGAGTAAGTCAAAAATTGAGTATCTTTTAAAAATCATGTGTTTGAATTGGTTATGGACATGGTGAAGGGAAGGGTGGTTTTCCAAGAGAGAGGTATAAAAACTGGTAGGTACAGCTGTATCTTCTTTCCTTCTTATGATTATAATTCTTACTCCTATTCTGGGCTTTACATAATATTGTTCACTTGAACTGGAATAACACAGTGATATGTTTGCAGTTTATTTATGATCCTTTTCATATAACTACTGATGATCCTTGACAGATCATATTTCTTGTATCTTTCTCTTCACTAATTTCACTTCTCTGGTCAAGAAACAAAACATTCCCACTTATCCCACGTCTGAAATATATATTTTTAAAAGAAGCTTAAATTCAGGTAATGTGATAATAAGGCACAACAATGACGTAGATTATGATTAATTAATACAATTTAAATCTAATATTTTATAGCATTCATGCTTTCAGGGGCCTATTTCTTTTATTATAAAGCTTAGTATCATATATTTAATTTCTGATCTTGCTTTCTAGTTCCTTGAGCATGTAAGCACTTGAGTTCCTAAAGAAGGGCTGTCAAGCTTGCGTCACAGATAACAGATAATCAGAGTTGGAAGGGACCTTGTAGGTCATCTAGTCCAACTCCCTGCCCAAACAGGAGACCCTACACTATTTCTGTCAAATGGCAGTCCAATCTCTTCTTGAAAGCCTCCAGTGATGATGACGCTCCCACAAATTCCGAGGGCAAGCTGTTCCATTGGTTGATTGTTCCCACTGTCAGAAAGTTTCTCCTTATTTCCAGGTTAAATATCTCCTTGTTCAGTTTCCATCCATTATTCCTTGTCTGGCCTTCAGGTGCTTTAGAAAATAGCTTGACCCCTTCTTCTCTGTGGCAGCCCCTCAAATATTGGAAGACTGCTATCATGTCTCCCCTGGGCCTTCTCTTCACTAGACTAGCCAAGTCCAGTTCCTGTAACCGTTCTTCATATGTTTTATCTTCCAGTCCCCTAATCATCCTGGTTTCTTTTCTCTTTTTTCTACAATCTCAATATATATTTTTATAGTGTGGTGACCAAAACTGGATGCAGTACTCTAGGTGTGGTCTGACGTCACATGCTGGCCACTCCCCTGCCCAGTTTAGCAAAGGGGGGGAAAGTTCCGATACGTCAGGTGACAACGCGAGTTTGACACCCCTGTCCTAAAGACTTTTAATCTTTAGAAAAAATTAATCTGTTTCATGTAGTCAGATAAATGAAGAGTATATTTCATGACTATATTCCTGCCTGCCTGCCATATGGCTGTTAATAAAGGAACAATCACAGTAAATTTGTTTTTTACATAATCCTTTTTCGCAGCAGTACAATCAAGTCTACTAGAAATCTTGAGTCTTATAAAAATATAAATTAATTCCACATTGCATTATTTGCTGTGTGAAGGATGCTTAATTGAAGAATAAGTATTGTGTAACCAATAATTACTCCTGTAACTAATTCATTTAAGGCATAGTTATCTACATATCTTTTTCAGCCCAAAACTAGTTATAGCTCAAAGACAAACATGAACTAACTATTTCCATTGATCTGATAAGCCAAAAATACATTAAAAAATACAAGAAATAAAAAAGAGAAAAATCCTTTCAGTTAAATAATGTCATATGTGTGAGAAGTTCTCTTGGGGAGCACAGTTCTACTTTATAAACTAAGATGCAAAATAATCTAGTTTGTGCTTGTAATAATAGACTTTTATTTAAAAAGCATGCAATGATTTTGAAAATATATTTATCTTCAACAGTAAAAAAAACATGCTGTTCAGTTTCTACCAATGAAAAGTTTGTGAGAGTAATAGCCTTATTCTACAGATTAATCTATCAACCCAAGTAATTTTTCCTAATCATTATCTACAATCTGTAAGTTCAAGCAAAATCACTAACTCACAGGATACTATTAAGATAGATACGTCCTGATAGGAAATTTTCATTTTATATCTAAGTTAAAGTGATCTCCAGTAAACCAGTGAATAAAATTCTCCAAAAGCTCTCTCAGATGTCACAAAATCATAGCTTAGAGTTATTTCACATACAATGTATGCCTTTCCAAAGTATTTATTGTACAAAAATATATAGTGTATGTTAAACATACTTTTAGAATGAAACTATATTGAAATTTACTTTCCTGATACCATGTATAATTTCTAAAGTCATTGTTAAATGCATGTATTATGTAATCAGATGCTTCTTTTCTTTCTGCATAACAATTGTATAGTTTCATGATTTAAAACAAGTCTATTAAAACCTTTATTGTAATTAATACTACATAAACACAAGAGGTTTCCACACTGATTTTTAGGAGGGTTGAGGAGTTTTTAGACATTTATTTAGTATACATATATACATTTATATACATTTAACTGAATTGCTTTCCAAGGCAACTGATAAAAACTAATAGCAAATATTTAGCCTTAATAAGTAACCGTGAAATAGCATAAAAGTTATATGTGAGTATGGTTATTCTAGTCTGAGCTGTTTTTCAATAGCATACTTTATTTATGTGTGTTTGTGTATGTGTTTTATTACAGTACTCTGACAAGGCCTTATTCACCCAGCTATGCTTTTACCATTATATTTTTGATGTGGACTATGCAAAAGAAAAATATACTGGTCCAGGGAAAGGTATGTTACAACACTGTCATTACCCTGAACGTTTAAAGTGGAAATTTGCATCATAAAAATCAGTCCTATTTTCTGGTGTTAGGCCAATCTGCCTCATTCTGTTAACATAATATACATAAAGGTACCTGACTGCATGAATTAAGAAATTGTATATAAAAAAGAAAATGGAGTGGTGCAGTGGCCTAAGGTGGAGCTCTCGCCTCACAAGTCTGTGAGTTCAATCCTAGCTAGAGGAAGATATTTCTCTCTCTGGGCATGATGAGAATATATCTGCTGAACAAAACTCCGCATTGGAGACAGGAAGGGGATCCGGCCATTAAACACTCTACTAACTCCATTCAGTTGCCCACCCTCCACCCTGCAAGGTATTATGGGGTTATTAAATGATGATGATGATGATGATGATGATGATGATGATGATATAAGAAAGAAAATGTATGTCATAATAATGCCTAAAGAAATTCCTGGGAAACGTTACATTCTCTTAAGTAATTGGGAACGATTTAGCCTTCCCTTTGCTGGAGGCTTTTTTTTTAATTAATCTTTTTATTATTTTTAAAATACATTTTCAGTTTTACCTACATAATGAGGTTATATTTATTAATATTTATACTGAAATGTATCTTATATATGCATTTTTATAAATATGTACATTAAATGATACGTAACTATCCAAAATATAAAGATAAAATTATACACTTGTGCAAAACTTGTCATAACTTGGTGATCTGGAATAATGATAGCCTCAGAAAGGGTGCTTTACAGCCCGTAAATGAACCACTTCCAGCCATCGTAAAATATTGCTCCACCATTCCCGCAGACATAAGATTACAATATGGGTACTTGGCACCCTGTTCTCATTTATAACTAATTAGAATTAAGTACCCCACAGTCTTGGGATTGTTTTTTGTAATCTCTGTTGGCTTCCCTGTCAATGGGGAAACTGGCAGGAAAGGTTGCAAGTTGTTGCTGCCTTATGACAGGACTTTGTCTGAGCTAATTTCTGAGGGTTGATTGAACATTTGAGCTCTTTTCCTTCAGTTCTCTTCCACATTCCACAACCCGTTGCAATGCCCTGTGATCATGTGATCGCCATTTATGATCTTTCCTATCAGCTTCCCCAGAAAGTCAGAGATGCCAATTGGGAAGGTTACAAGTCACGAATAATTCTCCCCCACCTGTGTATCCTTCCTTAGTCCCTCTGCCCTCATTCTGTGCAGGCCGCTTGTGCACCTCTACACACCCTCCCAAGGCATCATGGCACCTCCCTCACCATTTGTGCATCCTGCACACCCTCTCCAGTCTCCTTTACACACTCCTTGAGCCCTACCACAACTTTCACACATCCTTGTACCAGTGACCTGTTTGCAAGCCTAGGATTTCCAACTTCCTGCCAGCTTCACCATGGAAAGCCAGGAGGAAGTTGCTTCGCCTAATAACAATGGGATTCAATTCAGTTTAGTGGCAACTGAGACTGCAGGGATTTGCTGTTGCTAAGTGATGTAGTTATGCTTTATGACCCCATTGCTTAGTGGCAGAAATTCTGATCCTAATTGCCATAGTAAGTAAAGAACTACCTATATAGCTGTGCTCCTGTATATATAGAACTACATGTTTTCCATTCCTTGTCATACCTCTGAATTTTCAACTTTTTCACTTACTCCTTATTTAAATTTCCATTATTAGAACAATAGATAAGAGATTTGAGCAGTTTTTCCAATGATATTATAATTTCTGAAAATAAATTATGAATCAGAATGATTACAGCTATTGTAAAAACAATGGAAGATTGTTGTATACAAATAGCATTGTTGTATCCAAGTTGAGAGAATCCAATATACAGCCTGGGGCAATGAAATTAACAAATGCAACTAGCATTTGGGGAGCTATAATAAGGAACAGGAAGAAAAAGGTATGGGTTAATAATAAAATGTTGCTGATCTCAAGTATATATTTTGCTTAGTTTTTAAGTAGCAACTTGCAAGGCTGCAAAAAAATTGCTGGCTGTGGATATATGCTCTACGAGACATAGTCCGAAGCTCAGCAACTTTTCAAGGTTTAAGAGCATGAAGAATAGATCTAAAATAATTTTTGAACATAATATATTTTCTTTTGAATCTTTTGTTTTATGTTCTTTTGCATAATGTTTTCGTAACTTAGAATTATCTTAATTCTAAGGACTTCTAGTACTAGTATCAGATATATCATACCAATTATTAAAATAAAAATAGAAGATTAGATTATATTGAATCACTCACTGATTGAAGAAGGTTGGATATTAAAAGTATTGTGTATATTTTTAGATCACTACTTTCACTTCTTTCTAAGATCTTTACGATATTCATTTTTATACTGTGCATTTGTTTTAAAAATAAATCCATGCTCAGCAAATACTTTTACAAATTTATAACAGAATTTTACACTAGTCCTCCATAAATATACTAAACATGCTCAGTTAACTTTCTGGATGAATAGACTGTAAAATTGTATTTAGAAAAATGAAATGGTTAAGCTGTATGAACTCCAAGGAAATGCAAAGTCTAACTTGGAATATTCGCTTATATCCTTTAATTTGAACATTGTTTTTTTTCTCTTGTGCTCATGACTTGGTGTGCAAAATATCAATGCAAAGTGGAAGTTTTTTATGGATGAGTTGCTAATAAGCTATACAAGGAGAGCTTTCATCATGGTGGTATTTTTCAGTGATACTAATGAGGATCTTCAATATGTCTCTGCTAACAGTTGACAGGAGAAAAATACAAATTGTATATTGTCCCAAAAGAAACTTGATAATAAAGTACAATATTAAAAAGTGGGCATTTCTATAAATTAAGAAGATTATTCATTAGATACAAAGAAAATTATAAGAATTTATGTGCATATTAGGATGCACACTGTTAGGATGAATTGCCTTTTGGTTAGTATGAAAAGGTAGCAGTTATGTAATTATCAAGCTAATTTAGAAAGTAAAATCTTTTTACCATATTCAATATACTCAATTTCAGCTTGAGAAATAAATCAGACTTTAAAAATGTTTATAGAATAGAAAAGGCCTTAAATACAGTTTAAAGAGAATTCAAGTTTTAAGGCATGCACTATGTATTATCTGAAGTGTTTGAACATCAGTATTGAAGAAATAACAAAATTTGCAGTGCTGAAACATCAATTTAAAAATTTTCTAGCTAGTTTCAAATGTCTCAAGAGGATTTCTAGTTGATTTATTGTGATTTAGGATAAAATACATGTTTGATTATCACTAAATTAGTATAATTATGTCTTAAGAAGATAATTCACCATCTTAATATCTATAAGATTTTTCTTTAATTGTCAGTAAGTAATTGATACACTAGACTAATCGCTGTTATTTACTTATTGTTTGTTTGTTTATTTATTTATTTATTTTGAAGGTGGAAATACAGTTTTTAAGCAATAGGAAAGATTTTTTTTGTAGATGTATTGTGGTTATACAGTTGATAGTTTTTATTTCCATAATGTTTTTTACTACATAATTATACATCTTAATTATGTAATTACCATCATAATTATTATGTAATTACATGTAGTTCCACTAATTACAAAATCAAGAAGTATAATTATCTAGTACAAAATTTCTAAAATCTTATTTTATGAACTGGAGAGTATTTAAAAGACCAATTGGTAAACTAAGAACATATTTTCTTATTTTGATATGCTGATTTAATTTCTGGCCTCCATTTTTTGAATACAAAACTAAAGATGTTTTTGACATCTGCATTTGGTAACTTATAAAAGTAAAATAAAGTTATTTTGCTTTGCTATGTCACTTTCATCTCAATTTTTCCTCAGTTTTTGCTAGTATTCTTAGCTGCTTTTGCTAGTATTGTTAGTTGCTTTAATTTCAATAACTGCCTATTTATCAAATGTATAATTGCACATTGGAAATAATTGCAACATTAAGAAATCAGGTTATCAAGTACAGCCATTAGACTTTTTTTGTATGAAAGATAGGAGTTCTAGTCTCAATCTGGCATTGTCTGATTTGGCTTCTATTCTTTTTTATAATATAATGCAATGCTCATATAGTTAAGTATAAATTCAAGCTATTGTATATAGTTCCTATCATTTTTATTGAACAAACATTTGTATTTTATTTATAAACATATTCATACTGTGGAGATAATTCTCATCAATCAACTTTTATTCAATAAACAAACAAAAAAAGTCAAAGACCAGAGGTTTAGTTTTTTGACATTTCAGACTCGTGCTGGAGCCCATCCTCAGGGAACTTCTCTCTAGCAGAGTGTGTGCTTTGGGTTATTGTGTATGTGGTATTTCTATGGTGTCTATGGTTCTCTAACAACCAGTCACCATATAAATACCAGACACAGAAAAGCCCAAAGCATAACTGCTAGAGAGGAGTTCCCTGAGGATGGGCTCCAGCACAAGTCCAAAAGCTCAGAAGACCAAGCCTCTGGTTTCAGTGACCGACCCAGATTGAATCCTACAACATTATCCTGGGACATGTATATTTGCCTTCATTCATGAAAGAAATTATTTTATAAATCAAACTATTTCTACAAAAGAAATGTCCTTAAAATTAAAACCTGTTAAGTGGATGTAACCAGAAATTATTTTGATCTTTTTGTTTTTGATAGTTTGGCCATCCTACATTGTACAGGAGGAATAAAGGAGAACATTTGTAGCTCAAGGTTCAAATCAGAGGTCCTTGGTACTTTCTAAGTTTGGTTGTTTTCTTGCAGACATATCATTACCCAAACTAAGTAACAACATCAGTATACAGGACAATTCTATAATAAGTTAGGCTTATATGGGCATTCAACATAGTTCAATAAATATATCCTCTTGGTAAGATTCCTAAACTGTTCCTGAAAGTTCAGCAGGCTTTATTCTTTTGTAAAGCTTTGAAGACCTGTCTTTTCCCCCAAGCACCGGGATCATATTAGATGACTGGACATTAGAAGTTGAGTTGGAACCAGGTTTTTATTGTTTTTAATGTTTTA